GCCACAGATGTGTTTTGGATTCAACTAGAGGGAAGTCAAATTGAAGACACATAAAGCTCGAGTTCAGTGGGGCTTATTTATGTGGTTCACAGTCATCTCCTTGCAAGGTTAGGTCACTGTTAGTCACTGCTGAATAGAAACAGCTTCCAGAAATAATCTTAATACCTTCTGTGCATCCTAGGCTACAATTCTAATGGCGGCACAGCAGTAGAAATCCATCGCTCTCTAGGGTGACCAGCCATCATGCTAAAGTCAGAACCCATAGTCTGGAAAATTCTTCCAATCAACAAGCAGGCAAAACTGTAAATGGAGGATTCAGTTCCCATTACTACATGGTTCAAACAGAAATTCAGCAGAAGTTCTCTGTTGGGGATAATGTAGTGCATGAAATTCTAAATGTACCATCACATTTCATTTCTTTTTTGAGAATCACAGAAAATAAACTTTATTAGAATCCCTGTGTTTGTAGCTATCAAACAAAAATAATTTTAAATTATATCAAAAGTTGTAATAAATTCTTGGGTATCTGATAACCCAGTTAATGAAGAAGAGTGAATCATAAGAATATTAATATTAATATTTCTTGTTGACACAGCACAAAGCATTGATGTCCATGAAAAAAACATAAATCTCGAACCATGCCAATAAAGATCACCGACAAGCCTGGCTGATCTTGCTCAATGGTTAGCACTGACCCATGAACCAGGAGGTCACAGTGCAATTCCTGGTAAGGGCACAACTCTGGGTTATGGACTTGATCCTCGGTAGGAGGCAGCCAATCAATGGTTCTCTCTCATCATTAATGTTTCCATCTCTTCCTATCTATGAAATCAATAAAAAACAAAAACATATTTAAAAAAAATATCAGATGACATTCAAATCAATTCAAAGAACACCCAAGAAACTTGAAAAGAAAGCTGCACAAGAAAACTTGAAAAACCCTGAGATTTTACAGCTTGTATGTAAAAATATCTTGATAGAAGTTTCCCCAAATCTGTCAAGAATTCTAAAAATTTAGATGAGTTGAGAAAACGTTTCTAAATTCTCAATAATAATAAAAACTGACTCTGATGCTCCATACTACTCCCTCTACAGAAACACTATTACCAAATTAATATCATATGATGAACAGATCACAGTATGCAAGCAAAACCTATGGGAGTTAACATAATATTACTTTTATGGTTTCTGTAATGTTTATAGAATTTGTCAGTTCTTAAAAATTTGTCAATTGTGGTGCTTGCTTTTCTCACTTAACATTTTTACTTTTTTGTTTCTAATTTTGTATTTCCTTTTTAAAGAGGACCCACAAAATTGAATAAGCTTCAAACCTGTAAAACTAAAATCTGCCTTTATCAGAACACTCACCTTCCTCAATTCTTTGCCTTTGGCTATGAACTTCCAAGCCCAGATTAACCTCATATAGTAAAGGGAGAAGGAATGATAGAATCAGGGAGTCATCCTTCAGGATTCACCATGAAATAACCAATTCAGACAAGGGCCATGATCAATATTCCCAAATGTTAAGGAGGAGGGTTGACTACAATCCCTTAGCATGGTCACCAAGTGGCTGTCTTACTCTGGATAACCTTCATGGCTGAGCTTCAGTTTTCAGACAGGACAACCTTAAACTCGTAGGGAAACTGCAGAGGTTCATAATTTAGGCTAGTATTGGGGGCTAGAAAGTAACATGTGGCATCAGATCCCCCTTCTTTCCATCAACAGAAGGTGGCTGGGGATGGACGTGAGCGGGGGCACAGCCACACCCGGGAGGAGGCAGCACGCACACTGCCCTCCTTGCCACTCATGAGCAGAGGCACTACGTCAGACACAGTCCCTTCCTAGGGTCCCAGGACAAGCAGGGGAATGAAAAGACCATGTGAGGCAGTGCAATCTCTGAAACAAAGCACACACAAGTACTGTGAAAAGCAAAAGCACCCCCGAAGGACTGAGTGCGGGTACTTCAACATGCTGGTCAAGTCCACACCCCTCACAATGCCTAATGGCTGGCTGTTTGGAGAGGCTTCCCGCCATAAAACTAGGGGACATTACTAATTCTATGGCTTTCATAAAATTCAGAGGTCCACCAAATGTTTGCTTGGCAGATTGTTTTTTTCCTCCCCAAGGGCAGTTCATTAAGTCCAACAATAAAGCAGGCTTTGTCCTGAAGATTTACAGTGTTTTCCCAATGAAAATTATAATTGACAACCACCAGGAGAAGAACAATGCAGAGCAAAGAGCTCTGGTTTCTCCCACTTTTCCAAGATCCATCTCAAAGAAGCACTTGCTTCTCAGGTTTCCTGGACCAGTGTTTAGCTCAGTCTTTATTTGGGATGTATGCATAAGTAGATGTGCTATCAGAAATTTATCATTCAAAGTAGTCAAATCTTAAAAACCAAAAGATTTGTTCTTTCAAACCTTAAAGATAAGAAATCTCATTTAATTTCCAGGTTCCTCCACCCAGAAGCATATTATATAAAAATACAACTATGCCTTGTCCACGTAAGAAAGGGACACTAAAAAAATAAAAATAAAATGCGTGGTGAGAGTCTTCAGAAATAGCTGAATGAGCATATTAAAGGCACTGCTATTCAAAGGGTTCATTATAGGATAAAAGTTCCAGCACCACTGGGAGTGATTTTCATATGAATGTTGGGTGTTGCTGTCACAGACAAGTCTCTGGTCTACACAGAGAAGCAAATCACATCAAGCGAGTAAGGGAGCTCTGAGTGACAAGGTGGAGAGAGGGTTGTTCAGATAAAGGACAGACATTACAGGACCCATTTTTTCAAAGAAAACTTTGAAGATTTTGTAAAGCTTTCTTCCAGGAACTGTCACAAAATAACAATACAGTTGCAAATGAGTGGTGCTCAGTGGCCATGCACTGCCTTTTTACAGGCCAGCTGGCTCGGGTGGAAATTAGTATTAAAGAAGGACTCAGGGTTACTTGGGCTCACATACATCCCAAGGAGAATATTCTCAAATGAAGGAGGACACTCCACATAGGCATACAAACAAAAAGCAAATGGAAAACAACTCTACTCTCTGAAAGGAACAGCAGAGAGAAAAAAAAATCCTCCTCACTTCTTTCTGAATCTTCCTAAATATGCCCATTCTCCAAACAGTGCCCAGGTCCCCAGAGTTAAAGTCAACAAACCAACTATGGGTGTCCAGCTGCATTACCAGATGAAGAGAAATGAAGCTGGTGGAAGAAGTGGAAAAATAGGACAATTCACCCCCCCCCTTCTTTTTTTTCTACACAGAAAGCAGAGAAAGGGACTCAAGTGGAAAAGCCCAGTACCCCAGGCAGAAGCAGGGACCAGCAGTCAAGAGGCCTGGATCCTAACTAGTCTTAGAGTCTACCAGGAGTCCTTTGATGGGTCCCTTAACTTCCTGAATGTCCTTGTCCTTATCAGTAAAGCATTCAGAGACTTGAGTGGTTCTCAAACTGTGCTCCTTAGAACCCTGGGGTTCTCTGGAGGTGCTTTTGAGGCAGCCACAGTGACATAGGGGTAAGGCAAAAAGGAATGGCTCTCTTGCTTCCTCTCAATCCCAAAGAGTGAAAAGTTGATCCATTTTATATGTCAAGTTTGTGAGTAAAGACTTCTGTTTAGAGAGTATCAAGGTAAGAAACATTTAAACTTGTGGTGATTTTTTTTTTTTTTTTGAGTTTGAGCCAAACAGTGGACAATTATCAGAAACAAAATCTCAAGGGACTGAGATAATGCTCCAGAAAATGGCAGTTTTGCATCTTATTTTATATAATACAATTAAAAAAGAAGATACAAATGGTTATAAGAAATCCATTGGTGATAGATTAGGGAGGTGGGAGAAAGCAATACAGGGAAACATCTGTTATTGGATGAAAAGTAAAATGACAGACACATACACCTTTTACATAGGTGGTTATGGGGATCCTAAATAGTCAACAATTAGCGTGATAACAATGACAATGAGAGGATTTAATGTCTTCACTCTGGTGCACTGGTTGTGCCATGAGAGGTCTGGAAAAAGAGGAGTTACCCTAACATTGTGAAGAAATATTATGGTAGATGCAAAAGACAATAGACAGGAGAAAAAAAAAAGACAATAGAAAGGTTGGTTAAGGTACTTAATTTTTGTCAGGGAAGATTCTAGCCTAGGACATGAGTACCTGCTATAAACCGCTTCTAGTTAAAAAGTTTAAATTTCAGAGCATCCTTTGTGGTTACTATAAGTCTCTGAGTTTGCAAGGTTGCCATGCAGGCCTTCCCTGAGCTGGTTAGCATGTAGCTGCTTTTGGTCCACAAGAGTTTATTACCAAGACAATTTATAACTAAAATGGTATAAAAGCATTGAACCAACATATCTTATTGTTGTTTTTCAATCTTATAGTTATGTGGTTTCTATGTGCCTCTTTGGATTACGGTTGTTAGAGTTACTGGATTGAAAGACTGGTTAATGTCAACCCTCAAATCTGTGTATAAGGTTCAATTATCTATTTATGTATAAGAGGCTAATATGCAAAGTGTCCCCTCAGGAGTTTGACCATGAGACTGGAAGTTCAACCATGAGACTGGAAGTTGTATCACTCACTGTGACATGCACTGACCACAAGGGGGTAGCACAAAATGAAGGAAGACCCCAGTGGGCAGCCGACAGCAGGCAGCCAGGGAAAGAAGGCCCCAGCCGGCAGCCAGAAGGAAGGCCCCAACTGGCAGTTGGAAGGTCCCAATTGGCCCTGCTCGCCAGCCAGGCCTACGGACCCTATCCACGCAGGAATTTTGTGCACCAGGCCTCTAGTTCCTACATAAAAGGTGAGGAAATCAAAACTCAGATAATTCAAAGTATACAAAATCACATAGCTCTGTATTCAAACTTAGGAATGCTTGATACTGATTCAATTTTTATAGTTAAAGAATAAACTTCACTGAGCAATTAGTTACCTTATTATTCTAATTCCTTTCCCATGGAACATGAGGTTCTTCATTTGTATTTTCTAGGAGTAAATAAATACTTACCCTGGAGAGATTAAGTGAATAGCCACAAGTTCTGCCCAACAAGCAAATTTGTTGGGTACAGGAAAGCCCAAAACGGTAACAAAGCCTCCAGGGCAATAATGGTTGTTAAGAACTTTCAAAGCAAACAAAACTCCTAAAAGAGAAGAAAGAGCATACAAATATGAGCAATCCAGAGATGATCAGCATTTACAAAAAAAACTAGCTGAAAGTGAAAATGATTATTCCACTACATCAACTTTTTGCTTTGAAACATACTTCAACTCCTTACAAATCAACCCAGTGCTCAGTAGAAAGACAGTGTACAAAGTAATAATTCTTGTGATGTTTCTTAACACAGAGTTAATACTGACTTTTCTGCATGATACTAAATACATAACACATAAAATGAAGATAAAACACCAGCAATGGCACTAAATGTCACTGAAATGTACACTTCAAAATCATTAATTTTATGGCATGTGAATTTTAACTCAATAGGAAAAAGTATGTTAAGTCACAAATATTTTTCTAATCTCAATGGAAAGAGGTTGAAGGAAGGACATATTTTATTTCTTCACCCACAATTAGATGCAAGAGGGTGCATCTTGGAGGGAGGGGGAGCAACGGCAGGGGAAGTACAGGGAAGGGTTAATTTCCTTCTGTTTCAGGATCATTTCCTTCCTTCCCTTCACGTTCTCATTTTCAGAACACCTAATTTACACCCTGATGGCAATTTCAGTCCTATGACATATATATAAAAACAAAAAACAAAAAACAGTAAAGGTTAAAGGGAGAGGAAATGCAATACATGGATAAAGCCATGCAGCATGGGTTCAAACCTCAGCTTCCTAGTTATTAGGTGTGTAACCTCAAGCAAGTTTCTTTACTTCTCTGAGTCTTAGCTTCCCCATCTACGAAACCAAGACAATGCCAGCTCCCTATGAACCTGTTATACGAATATTAAATAGTGAGTTATATTTAATATTGTTATTAAATATATGTTAATATATTTGTTAACATTAACATATATTAATATATATTAATATTAACATATAGTAGCATGGCATGCTCACCATGTTAATATCTAAAACATAGTGAGCATGCCATGCTAAGCATGATGCATTTATTTTAATGAAGTTATTAAGAGGCATACTCATCTTTTTACAGAAATCCCCATCACAAATACACCTGTGGGTCTCTCCCTGGTCCCACCATCATGGAGCCAGTGCAGATTTCCAGTACTGTGTCTCCTACAAAACTGCCTTTGAGCACACTGTAGTCCAAACTGTCCACGAGTAAATGATGCAGAGCCAAACCTATGTCCCTCCTGTGGTCCAGTCAGCCCCCTCTGGCGGCCCTTACCCACTCAAAATTTGATTCCTTCATCAACTATGGCCCCATGCTTCATAAAAGATAGCAGCCCACCTCCCTTACTGCCTCTGTGCATGCTCCCCTAGAAGCTTGTCAGCCTTACCTGAGAAACCTACAGCACAACTCCTTTTGAAGCCGGGCTCACCCATACACTCTGCAAGAGCAAATTCCAAGAAGAGGTACACCACGCCAGTGAGTAGGGAGAACGTGGTGATAACATAGGCAAACCATCGGCTTCCTAGTCTTCTTTCCAGATGTATTCCTTTCCATAGCATGGACACCATATTGAAATACAGATGCCAGTCGTCCGCGTGGTGAAAGGGGGAGAGCAGCAGGCGCTGCCAGTCCTTTTCTAGGTAACACTTCTCCACGCTGAGGCAGGAGCTATACAGTGGCTTCAGAGGACTCAGGAAGAACCAGATGTTGACAGCCAAAGTGGCCAGGGTGACAGGTGGAATATTATTGATGCCGACATGAAAGATTTGAGAAAGGAGCAGCATAAGCCCAGCATTCAGTCCTCTTGGTCTCCGCTGCATGATTAGATGCCAACCCAGTGAGAGGAATATGTAGGATCCAGGGAGGTGTACAGGCAGCTGAACCTGTAACAAAAAATAAAATGCACATGAACATCCATCAGTGAAGAATGAATGCAATACATACTACTCACTTAAAGATGAGCTTCCATTGCGTCCCCCATCCCTCATCTACAAGAAGCATTCATTTCAGTGTCTTCCAGAGTAACATCTAGACATTGGATGATGTCCTTCCTACATATCACATTTTAAAATAGAGACTTTTATCCAAAATCCCAATGGGATAAAAGCATACCAGTTAATAGGTGGGTATGCTTTCTCTGATAAATATGCTGTGAAACTTCGCTTCCTTTTGAGCAAACTTGTAACCTAGTTTAAAAAGAACCTACAAAGATAGTACATAAATATTTAATAATGATTTCTACTCACAAGCTGGTAAGGATTCTTCACCCCCTTCATGTTCTCAAAGAAATATTCAATTTTGATATTTTGCATAGAGTCTGCTCCAACGTGTTTAAACATTCACAAGCCAGTTTTAAAACTCCCGGAATACTTTATTTTCACAGAAACTTCAGCTTTTAAACGTTACCTATTAGGAGCTAAATCCTGGTTTGCAACACTGTTTGTTTTTAAGGAGTTCACAATTCTACTAAGAAGTGAGTGAATTGACAAGTGCCACACAATGTTCTGAACACAGTGACAGAGAGAACTGAGGCACACACTTCAGCCCAAGGCAATGATGCGCCTCTGGTCTCAAGTGTGGGCAGGAATTAGTGACACAGAGGAGTGCCAGGGTCCAACAGTCTGCTTCTGCACTGCGATCCTGGCTGACCTTGTGACTGGCTTCAGCTGACAGAATGCAGAGGAATTGAGGTCTCAAGATGATCTGCAGGCTTCTGCTCTCTCTTGAAATCCTCCCACACACGTAGACAAGTCCAAGATGGCCAGCTACCCTGGTGGCCACAGCCACCAACCAGCTAATGCCCAGAAGCAAGGCTGTCTAGTTGACCAGCTGCTTCCCACAAAATGGGTGAGTCCAGCTGAGCCCAGACTAACGTGCTGACCCATAGAACGGTGAGCCACATAAACAATATATTTACTTCACGGAGTTTTGGAGTGGTTAGTTAATACAGCAATTACTGACCAAGACGGAAAGCAATTGTTTTGGTGAGGGACTGATTTATGCTCATGGGAAGAAGTTTGGGAAGAAAAGAGACACAGACTAATGATGCAAGAAATAAACAAACAAACACCAAGTCCTTAAAGGGAAGAGCCTTGTTTGTTATGACATTTATGTCATCAATAAATGCAGATATGGGTCAGTAGGCAGATTAGGAGACAGGACTCTGAAAAAGTGCTCAATGGAGGGAAGGGGGGTGTTATCCCTGTGGAGCCTTCTTGGCTTCCACCCAAATAGGAAAGGCACTCTGATGCACTAAAGACTCATTCAGAGGGCATGTTGGAACATACACAGGCTTTGGAGCAAAAAAGGGCAGGATTCTCCTATGTACTAACCCTGTGACCTAGGGCAAAGAACTTAACCTCTCAACTTCCATTTCTTCACTTTCAGTTAGGAACAACACCTTGTCTAGAGCAAAGAAGGTGCTGAATAATGGTAGCTACTTTTTCATAAGAAAAGGTAACCTCACTTAGGTGAAAAATCCTTTGCAAATGGAAGCATTCTGATAGGGCTCAAATGTTCGCCCCATCTTGTCAACATCACCCCCAAAAGAAATGCCCAAGAAAAAAACTATGTGCCTATGTGTGTGCATATCCTCATTATTAGCTCAACCCAAGTTTCTTTATTGCATGGGCTTATTATTACCGATCTGTAGCACTCTCATGAACTATTGAATTTAATAAAATTTCAACTGAAAAGTTCCCAAATAATTTTGGAGAAATGATCTCTATTTTTCACATTGGCCTGCAGGATGATTTTCTTCAACTACTGTGACTTTCTCACAATTCTCCCAAATGATTACCTGTAATCCTAGCAATGAAAAAACATGGCCTTGATCATTAAGTAACAAACAAACCCTTCAGAATCAGTACAAGCAGTGTACTATGGAGGCCAGGCCGTGAACAGCAGAAAATAAAAACTAATTATGTCTTTGCTTAAGAGAAAGTTCTCCCTTGATTGGAATTGTGAGTGATGAAAAGTATAAGAAAAGGATAAAATGTTTCCAATCATTTTTCACAATGTACACCCAGGCTCACATTACATTCGCTTTACTTCTGCCCAAATCCAAAGGTCCCTTTCTGTCTGCCTCCCTCCCTACCTCTCAGCTCTACTGCTGAAAGCTCCTGCTTCCCAGGACACTGTGCTTCACCTTCACCCTCCTCTGATTTTCACTTCCCGTCTATCCTTACTCTTTTCACACACTCATGAAATTCCACTCTCATGGTTTCTATCATTCTTTTCATTAGAATGATTCCCACATTTATATCTTTTTCAGCCTTGATTTCTCAGTAGGTTCCAGGGATATAATCTTATAGGAAGTATATAGTCTGTCTGCTCTCTTAGGTTTCTGGAAACTAAACTGACCCTCTTCACACAGAATGACTACTCAGCATTCCTTCCATCACTCATTTATTTAATAAATACCGGGTGCTGAATGCATGCCAGTCACTAGAGGCTCAGCAAAGAACAAAACACAACCTTAGCCCCTAAATGGCCCATCTCTACTTGAAGGAAACAAAAATTCTGGTTGTAGAAAATCAGAAGATGAATAAAATAATGTGGTTCATATTCGCAATAAATATGTACGTACTACAAAGGCAGATATAACCTCAGTCAATGTGAGAAGGGGACAATATGTTGGACCCCGCTTTCATAGAGGCCACTGGAGTATCAGTGTAGGTAGAACCTAATTCTGAGTTTTAAGTAGCAAAGATTAATTGGCACCAGCTCTCTTAGTAGATTATTAAGTCAGCCACCCAATGTGAAGGATACAGCTGGTGACAAGGTAACAGAAAACCCAACTGGTGCAGACCAAATCTGTAACTTGACCTTGTGGGCTAGGAACACCAAAGACAAAGACAACAGATTAAAGTAAGCAAGTGTTGACAATTAAGTGAATATTGCTTTGTCGCCCCCCCCCCCCCCCCCCCCCCCCCCGCCCATCAAATACACAGAGATTTTTACAGTGCTGAGTTATAAGAGAAACCACAGAGGCATGGCATGCTCGGTTATAGCAATTTATCTATGAGCTAGAAATTGGTATAATTGTGTTCAGTTTGGGAAGTGATTTTTTTATTCTAATTTGTATCCAGACCATAAACTAGTCACTGCATCTCAAGGAAAAAAGCAGGCTAGTCTCTGTACATCCCACCTCAGAAACACATCCCCTCCCAATCACTAAACATGCCCAAAACAACATGAAGTCATCCCTTCCAAGTCTGTCCTTCCATCCATGCTCACCATCTCAGGACAAGGAACCCCCAGGCAACCAGTTCACGACAGTGATGTAGAAAACACCCTTTATACACATCCTTGGCCCTCATCACCTCACTATCGCAAACACCCATCCTTGGCCCTCATCACCTCACTATCGCAAACACCCATCCACCCATCATTAATTCTTCTGGTCTGTTACCTATTTAGGCGCTTCTAACTCTAGGGTCACTGCTGTAGTCTAAGCCTGCATTATAACCAATTCCCTAGCAGGATTCCTTGCTTCTCCTTTTATACCTACCAACCATAACCATATTCTACTGCTGCTCAGAGAAATACACATAAAATTAGAGTTGGATTTCCCTGCAGTAAGCCTTTAGTAGCATATTGCAGTTGGAATGAAGACCAAACTCTTCACCATAACTAAACACTTGTGCTTACTAGTGCCCTGCCCACTTCTCTGGTCTCATCTCACACTGGTCTCTGCCTCCATCACCATGCCACATGGGGGCTCCAGGATTACAGCATAAATAGCCAAGGGCAGAACTGTCTTATCCATTTTGATGACCACTGAATACCCACAGCCTAGCCCAGTGACTGGCATACAGTCAGTGCTTAGTAAGTATTTGACCAATGACTCAAGATTAGTATTTTTTTATTACATCTTCATTATACAATAAGTGAACTGAAAAGTTCTGAATACCTATGAGATGTTTATCTCTAAGATATTTTCCTGCAATTGTAGCAACCTTCCCCAGAACATTATACATATTGCTCCACTTACCACTTTTAGTTCCAGAACAGTGTTTATATTTATCTCAACTTTACAGAAATTAACCTCTGATCTATTTAAAATGTATTAATAGGCTATTTTGTTAGTACTAGTTGATTTTTAAAAATGGCATTTTAATTATGTAGTAATACACACCAAAGTTGTGACAGAAAATGAAAGGCTTCTTGAAATATTGATAGGAAAATTATCCACATTTACTTTTAATGAGAAATTAAAAATTTAACAGGTATGTAATAAGAAAAACTAAATGACTGGAACAAACAAAAGAAACTGAATTCATAACTTGGGAAACCAATGTGTCTCAAGGGGAAGAGAAAGGAGTTCTATAAAAAAAAAAAAAAAGAAACTAATTGTGGTGATTTTCAACTCTACTTACAAAGTGGGACATATTTCATCATTATCATTTAATAGGGAGGTATATATCTCAACTTTCAGATTAAATGTTTAAGAACAATTTAGAGCATTAACTTGCAAGAATTTATAACCGTTATAAATTATATATCCAGTTTGGCATCAGATAGTAACCAAATTAGTTTCACAAGAAAGAAAGAAATGATAGTCTTAATGGAAATAATAAAATGCTATTCTGAAAGCCTTCCATATCACTAGAAGTGCAACAACTCTGACAGTTATTAATTGTGTGTTTTTCTTTAAGACTTAAGAAAAGGCCAATCACTACATATGTGAAATTGATTGATGCTACTGCCATTACTACTATTTGCATGCATGTGGTAAATTTCAGTTAATAATAGTTCCATATATTTTAAATCTATTACCTAAAAAAGTCATAGGGGACAGAGTAGGTTTGTTCAACTC